TAATTACAGATTAGGGTGTTAAGCTCGAAAATGAGGATAATCTACTTATATGTGAACCTAGTATAACACAATCATGCGTAGTTCATGTACAGTAAAACCCGCTTAAGTACCTCACTGTAAATGTCGGTATTTTGCGGTACTTAGGCGGGTTGGGTACTTAAAAGAACCCGCTTAAGTACGTCAATGCGGGTACTTAAGCGAACACAATTATTGATGAAGTGATCAAGTTACACCGTAGCATTATTTAAACATATAAACACATAAAGAAAAACTTTATTAAAAAAACTAGATAAAGCAATGTTATATAATTTTTACAACAATTCAATTATTTAAAAAGTCACTGATTATACATATTTATTCATACATATGTACATACAGTTTCGACCAAATTAAAAATGATACCGTTTGCCGCTTATGTTCATTAATTTTTAGGATTTTTCAATTAAAATAGAGTTCATTCCCTACCACATACCATATAAATCTAAGCATAAGATTTTGTAGAACACTGAAAATTCACCAAATTTTAATCAAAATTCCAAAATTCTAAAAAATCAAGGGTAATTTTTAGCCACTTGAAACTTGAATGTTGTTACTCTGACGGTGGCAAATAATGTCGATTGTGTAGTGCTGCCACTGAATTTCGAAACATGCAAATATTTTAAGAAATTATAAAAGAGCACTTAAAACGTGAAAATTATAAGTAAAATGGTCAATGGGATACGAAAAACTTAGGTACTTAGGCGGGTTGGGTAAATAAGCGGGGAGTTACTTAAGAGAGGGATTTTCTTCAGATTACATTAAAAAATTCACGGTGCCCAAAACTGTTGGTTACTTCAGCGGGTTAGGTACTTAAGCGGGTGGGTACTTAAGCGGGTCTCACTGTATACAAAACTGAAACCTGTTTTCGGGCGACTTCCCAGCAATGTTGCCAGGTTGCCGATTTGGTCGTCATTTTGAACACTTTTTACAGCCATGACAATTTGGCGAGATTTTGCCCGAATGGCGATTTTGCTTTATGTACAAATTTGGTTGGCTCTCAACTTCGAGGATAGTTATGACTGGTTTTCACTATGTCATACTTTGACGACAAAATTTGGCGACATATTTTGACACAACTATATCTCCTTTATCCATACCTTTATCGATGATATTATGGGCCAAAAACAGACAGATAGCCGATTTAGCAGCGCATGTACACGACTAAAGACCTATCCTGATCCAAATCAATCGAAAAACCGCTTTTTAATCCCATTTGACAATGTGTTTTCACTTATTTGACGACAAATGCCACTCAATTTGACATAGTGAAAATCAGCCTTTACACAGGCAACTAAAAATTGTAGTGTGAACACTTGGTTACCATTTCTGCTAATACATAATTGTCGTATCCAAATTATATCATGTGGCAGTACTAACAGTAGTTGTCGATAAGTACTCATTTACACACGGCGATTTTTGTTGCCGCAACTCGACGTTTGTAGGAGAGAGCGCGACGAGGAAAGGAGAGGGGTACCGAGTTGCTCGTGCTCGGGCAACACGCTTTGTGCTCTCGTTCGTCTGTGTAAATTGTCCCCGCTGTTCACAGCTGACAACAATTGCATACACACAAATCGCCGTGTGTAAATGAAACGAGCAACACCAAAAGGGAATGTGAAAAATCGCGTCGACAAAAGTTTCCGTGTATAAACACAGTCTTATTAGTAGTTTTCTTCTCTCTTTCATCACTATTTGTGTAGTTTCTGAGGTCCAATTCGTAGTTTTTGCGTTGTGTACTGATACATATTTATTGAGCGAAGGAAATTATGAATAAATTATTAAGTAAGACTTGTAGGTATGAACAGTTTATAATGCACATGGTAAAGTTGCAGTCTGCAAATATTTGATGTTCTCTTTACCTCAGCTGTCGAGTCAGAAGATGCTCTTTGCAAGAAAACTCAACTCTTCAGGGAATTTTGTTCACGCGGGACTTATTAAAAGAGGTAATGGTTGTTATTGTTTTGAGTTTTATCCAAACACCGATATACTTAAAAGTTTCAAAAATGAAATGTAGCATTAAATATTGTACCTAAAATCACACTCAAGAAATAAAAAGGAATTTTCTTCTATACAACTTTTTTAAATCAGTCTGAAGATCTCCAGAAAAAAACTTTCGCATATTTAGTTCTTCAAGAAAATTTACACCAACGGCAAAGTTCTTTTTCAAGCAACAAAAAGAATGAAACAAATTCTTGTGATTTTTCTAGAAAGCTGTTAAACATAATATATACTAGAGAAAAACTTTGTGAAAAAAAAATGTTATACGTCTTATCCAAAGTTTCACTAATCAATTCTAAATTTATCAGACTTAAAATTTAAAATGTTTAATTTTCCGAACGAAATTGGCTGATAAATTTAAAATTGATTGGTGCAGCTGGGCATTAATGATCTAAAAATGAAGAAGAAAATGCGATTTTATTGCAATTGAAAATTTTTTTTTAAAAGTAATGTGAATTTTAAGAATTCGTAAAAACGTTTAACTTTTTATTTTTTACGTATCGAGCCCTAACCGCCAAAATAACGTAAGCGATATTTTTTTTAAATTTCCTTTTTGATGCAGAAATATTCCTAGAGATGCATTTCTGCATCAAAAAGAAAATTTGAAAAAAATGTCGCTTACGTTATGTTGGCCGTCAGGGCTCAGTATATCAAAAATCGGAAAAAGCTCAAAAGAGCTTCCTGTTCTGTTTATTTGAATTTTTTATATGTTGACGATTTTTACATGCAAATGACGATTTATTATAACCAATCTGACGATTTCTCACTTCTGTGACATGGCAACACTGCTGCCCAGTTAGGGTTGTGGGAACACAGTCGAAGCATCTGGCAACACTTACCTTTTGGATGGGACTTTTACTATTCTCTTTATGCACTTATTCATAAGTTTTTCCTCTTTTCGGTTGCAAGTTTTAAACTTATAAATTTCCCACGGTGGTGGTTAGAATTTTCTAGACTTTTTTACGTGCCACTTATATCTGATCCGCAAAAACTAATTGCGACTAATTCTAAGTGTGTAAACAAATAATAAAAAGTATTCTTTGCGTTGTAAGAAAAATCATTTGTGGATTGTTATTCCCAACAGGGTCAAAACGATACTAGTAAATACAAGTACATACTCGATACTTTTCGTCCGATACCAAGCAATTTTCGTATCGATACTTTTGAACCAAATACTGAGTAGGTATCGGAAGAAAGTACTTGTATCGAAACTCGATTCAGTGACAATTTTATTCCCGGACTATTATTTTTTAATTCAACAAACTCATGAATAGTTAAAAATTTTTGGCAGTTGAGTTGCCAACGAAAAGAAGGTCCTCCAAAGAAAGACCCACTTCCATCTAATCTAAGTCCATTTTAAACGCAACTTCTCCAAAAGGATTACCTAACGTGCTTGTTTTATTTCTTTCCGTTTGTATTCAATTTAAGGCAAATCTACTAAGTCCAAAAGAAACACATAAAATTCGATAAGCTCACAAAAAATCTAAATATTTTAATTTGCAACGGAACGGAAAATTTTTATAAATGGATTTAGCAACTTTTCACTCTAACAGCCATATCCACGTGTTGTCACAGTCGTCTATTGTCACAGTTCAATTGTCATTATCGTGTCATCAGCTGTTGTCATAGGTATACACAGTCAATAATGACAAGCGAAAAGCTCATTTTATTTGCCAATTCCGGCGAAAGTTTCTCTATGGTGAAACAGCTGTTCTTTGTTTATATTTTAATTTGTTCTTTTTGACCGCCACTGCAACAAAAGGGATTTCTTTTAAATAAAATACACCACAGCAGTGGATTACGGAACACCGGAAAAGTGAGTAATTTTATAATAGGAAAATTTATTAAATTTTGTTATGAATTCGTGTAGTAACACGCGTGGAAAATATGAATGCACCACACAAGAGCAGCTGCAGTTTTGCGAAGACCACCCCTAACAGCAAACATGTAAAAACTGTCCAAAAAAACTGTTGTCTCGGAGTTCCATCAGAAGTCTTCTTCTCTGTGTAATTTTTGCCTGCTCCACAATAGCCGCGTACATAATAATTATTTCCTCCATGAATAATATTATGATATGCATACGCAAATAATAACTGTTTAACACACCTATTTAGGCAAATAAAGTGGTTTCACAGTTTTCATTTAGTAAAATTTTTGCAATTTTTTTCTGCAAAATTAATAAAATTGACAATATTAACATATGTTTTAGCGTTGTCACGTACTCAATAGGTCATCACAAAAATAATAGCAATTGTCACCGCTGGAGCTTTCAAATTGCCCTCTGCATACCTAAACGTGACAATTGTTTGTAAACATGCCAATAGTTATAGCGGCGAGTTTTGTCATTGCACGCGAATAGGGCTGTAAGCTAGCCATATGAATGCCGGCACTGTTTCCATTTCATTTAATTTCATTTATTAAACAAATTCATTAGTAAAATAAGATATTAAAGCTCTTTTATAGTACAACAGTAATTATAAAGCACAAACATAAAGCAACAAAAGGAAAACAATAAGTAAAAAAAATAAAAGAAAAAGAAAAATACAACTAATTCTAAGACTAAAAACTAACATTATTACTTAAGTAAAAACACAACGAGACAAACGTAAACATGTGTTGATAAATACATACACATATGATAATCCTAGCAGCAACCGGATTCCAGCTTTCGCTATCGCTAAAACTCCATCGCAAAAAAATACTAAATGGATTTTTGCAATTTTGGGAGATTTTTGCGGTTCGCGCTTAAAAAATCATCTCTAAAAAGTTTAATTTTTGGTTCATTTTTTTGGTGGGTTTTAGCGATGAACAAAATGAACCCGGATAAAGTGAGTGAACAGATTTTGACAGCTCATCAGCTAAAATGGCGATTCCAGCGTCTTTTCCATTGCTACAAATCTCCATTGTTGGCTTNATTTTGACAGCTCATCAGCTAAAATGGCGACTCCAGCGTCTTTTCCATTGCTACAAATCTCCATTGTTGGCTTAAAATTCTGCGAATTTGGCGACTAGAAAAAGTTTGTGCTAAAAAAATAACGCGACAAAAAAGGTAATGCTTATATTGTTTTTTGTTAAAAATACTCTTTTATATTAAAGAAATTGTTTAATTAATAGCAAAATATGGAAAACCGCAATAGCAAAAGAGTGACGAAGGATCAAAAATATATGCTCGTTCAATATTTGGAGGATCATAGAGAATTTGCTCACGACAGGTATGCAAAACATTTTCCCGTAAATGATTTTGTTTAAGTTTTTATTTTTTAAGATTCGTCAATGGCACCGGGAGCAAAAGTTTAGCTGAGCAGTGGAACCACCTCGCCGAAAAATTAAATGCTTACGGAGGATCCATGAAAGATGGTGAAGGATGGAAGAGAGCGCGGGTAAATATGAGGTAAATATGTTTTGAAAATGTACATAAGTAGCACTAAGATTCTTAAAATTGTTTTCGATTAATGATAGGAGCAAGGCCAAACAAAAATCCCAAGATTTGAGAAATGCTATGGAGCGAAGCGGGGTAAATTCATCAATTACCGAAAAACATCTCAGTAACCTCGACGAGCGCATCATTGGCGTGATGACCACAGTGGCAGTGGTCGGTCAAAGAGAAGTTAGCGAGCCACTGGTGAGTTAAGAACATTTCCATTTATAAATTATTTCTATCCATAGATTCGAATTCGATCAAAATGTTTTTGTAGTTTGAACATACTTACATATGTATATATCTATAATTTATATAATCTATATATAAATACGCCACAAGAAAATTTTGCAATCCCTTTTCTGAAGGCACCGTTCGCTCGATTTCAATGAAACATACACCGAATTAAAGGATATAACTTGCTCTAATCCACAAATGTTAGTCGCGATACATAGGGGGCGTGGCATCTGACATATAGACTAAAATGTGAAAACCACTATATCTCTAAAACCAATTATGCTGGAGAACTGAAACTTAGCACAGACGCATAGATTGTAAATACCCTACTTACGGTGAAAAATTGTAGGTATTGGGGATGTGGGTGTGGCACTTCCCATACAAACTGAAATTCTCATATCGCTTATCTCTGGAACCGCCTATGCTAACGTCCTAAAATTTCACACAGCAACATATGTTGTCAATACCGTACTTACGGCAAAAAGTGGTAGATTTTGGAAAAGGAGGCGTGGCGCCGCTCATACAAACTCAAATTCTTATATCGCTTATCTCTGGGACCACTTATGCTTACGTCCTGAAATTGGAGACAGCAACATATGTTGTCAATACCGTACTTACGGCAAAAAGTGGTAGATTTTGGAAAAGGAGGCGTGGCGCCGCTCATACAAACTCAAATTCTTATATCGCTTATCTCTGGGACCACTTATGCTTACGTCCTGAAATTGGAGACAGCAACATATGTTGTCAATACCGTACTTACGGCAAAAAGTGGTAGATTTTGGAAAAGGGGGAGTGGCACCGCCCATACAAACTGAAATTCTCATATCGCCTATCTCAGGAACCGCTTATGCTAACGTCCTGAAATTTGACACAGCTATTTATGATAACAATAAAATACTTATGGCGAAAAGTGGTAGATAATGGGAAAGAGGTGTGGCACCGCCAATACAAAGTGAAATATGGCTTATCTCTGAAACCACTTATGCTAACGTCCCGAAAATTGACACAGCAACATATGTTGCCATTGCCGTACTTATGGCGAAGAGTGGTAGGTTTTGGAAAAGGGGCGTGGCACCGCCCATACAAACTGAAATTCTCATATTGGTTATCTCTGGATCCACTTATCATAAGGTAATGGAATTTTACAGACCTACATTTATACACATATAGAATCGCAAGAATCATTCAATTGGGAACCATTTTCTCCCAGATTTTATAATCGCATTAAATGATTGCTGTTTTGTGCAAAAGTTTTTAGAAGGATCTGTGTGTTTGTCTTCCGATAGGTGGCGCAGGGATTGAGAGCTATCCAAAAAAATCATATATATGATCAGATTTGTTTCACTTTTAGAACACATATTAGTAACATAACTCGGTAGCCCAATCGTGTGATGAAAAATATTGGGCTCTGGCCCAGTCTTGATGAAAACCAGTGTGAAATCGCCGTTAGAGAAGGAAATATTATCTTTTGTTGTAAACCTTCAAGATACTTTCTCTACCGTTAACGATTCTGATGAAAAAAGAGAGAGTTTATGTAGATGTGCGCAATTTAGTTTTTAACCTGCAAGAGGCTCTCAGACAAATATAATGGAAAGAGCTTATATACAGTCTGAATTGGTATATGTTTGACATATTAGTCAGTGATGAACATCTCATCTATACATACAATACATATGCATATCTTTTATAAATGAAAATCGAAGTTTCTTTCTCGGTCTATTTTCAAAAACTGCTGAAGAAATTTGGAGGAGACTCCGTAGACCTAGCATTAATCAATCCGGTGTTAGCTTTCATAATTTGATTTTAAGTCTTCCTGTAAATTTGCTATAAATTATACTGGTGGACTTCAGTAATTCGCATAAAGGAGTTAGTATTGGTGACAGGTAAAATTCAAAAGTGTATGAAAAAAGATGTCGAATTTCGACAACTGGGCGATACTCGTAATTTTTAATTACAGAGAAGTTCCGGCGCAGTAACTAGCGTGGAATTATTTGACGCCTCTGTGGACCACTTTGAGATAGAGGTATGTACATACGCCTTATGATTGTCTCTGTTTTTATTTAACTTTTTATTACAGTTTCTTGAAGGAGGCGATGAGGAACCGCAAATGGCACCGGATGTGGTTCCTCAGGATCCACTTCCACCACAACGTCGGGCTCCCAAACGCAAAAATTACTCTTTAGAAGAGAGCAACGCCAAAATGATACAATTAGAAGAACGCAGAGTCGTCTTGGCGGAAAGAAAAATTGCGGCGCTGGAGAAAAGAAACTCTATAGAAAAGAGAAAGGCCGACGTATTGTCCAATATCTTAAATAAATTGGATTTACTTCTACAAAGGTGATTGTTCTCGGAGTGATCGTAGAAATATAGATATTTGAGCTTTACGGTATGTTGCCAATGAATTATGAACGGTACTCAGACGTTTATATTTTGACGTTTAACTGATTTTTTGAACTTCAATATTTCTTTTATAAAAATATAGTAAATTCAATAACATATACCACATCTATCGTTGCTTTAAACTTTGTGCGAAAGTCGCGAAAAATCAACAAATTACGAAAAGCTGTGATCAAAATTTAAAAGCTTTTATCAGAATTATTAGAAAATATTTACGTACGCAGATATATAGCCTTCAATTTCAGTTCCATAAAATGCAAGTTTGAAGTCGGTCGAAATCCGCGTTTGATTTTTCGAATATATCTTTGGTTTAAGGTGTAATGTACTTTCTTCAACATAAAAAAATGCCGACATACTTTACCGCGAAAAATTAACCGCGAATTTTTACCGACTTCAAACTTGCATTTTATGGTACTAAAATTTAAGGCTATATAAATGCGTAGTAAAAAGTTTTTTAAAAATTCTGATAAGTTTTAAATTTTGATGAGTTTTTCGTAATTAGCCGATTTTTCGCGAATTTTCCACAAAGTTTGAAGCAACGATATATGTGGTCTATGTTATTGAATTTACTATATTTTTATTAAAAAAAATATGAAAGTTCAAAAAATCAGTTAAACGTAAAAATGTAAACAAACGGTACATTGTAATTCAATGGTAATATACTATAGGTTTAGTTTTCCAAGCTGTAGAACAGCGCGTTGTTTTTTACTTATGTAAATAAATTTGGTATTTAAGCTTTAGGTTAAGTTTTCAAGCTGTGGAACAGAATTTTATTGTTTTTATTTATGATTAATTTAAATTAATTAGATATTTAAGCTGTAGGTTAAGTTTTCAAGCTGTAGAACAGCGTTTTATTGTTTTACTTATTGCTAATGGTAATAAATTAGGTATTTAAGCTGTAGCGTAAGTGTACATGTTGTAGAACAGCGTTTTAATTTTTCATTTATTATTAATGTAAATAAATTAGGTATTTAAGTTGTAGGTTAAGTATTTCAAGCTGTAGAACAGCGTCTTAATTTTATTGAATTTAATGAATTTTGGACTGAAATATGCATATATAGAAAATACTTAATATAAAGAAAATAAACGAATACGCAATTGTTTTTTAAATTTGAGTAAGCGTTAATTGAATTATTTAAAAAATAATAATAGTAATAAATGCTTAAATTAAAGGATGTACCCTAGTGGTCAGCTAATTAGGTTAGTTGCATTTTGACCAGTTTTGCCTGTTTTTATATTGTTTATAATGTTTATTTTTTTATAAAAGTATAAACCCACATTTCACACTTTTTACAAAATTTGTAAAAATTGAATTCAAATTAAATTGTTTTAGACCATTGAATTTAGTAGGACAAATAGCAAGTTTCAAAACGCTAGAATTTTTAATATTTTTATTTTTGCTGACGGTGCTATGTAATTTCTTCCACGTAAAGTATGTTCGAAACGACTATTATATGGAAGAAAATACCTGGCACCGTCAACAAAAAAATATTTAACATCAAGGCAAAGTTTTAAATATTTTGGGAAATTGGTAAATCTCTTTGGTTTTTTTAATTTTTGTACAAAGTATGAAATGTGGATTTATACGATGCTGGTTATATAAGGCGCTAGACTTAATAAACAAAACTGGTAAACATGTAACNATTTTTGTACAAAGTATGAAATGTGGATTTATACCATGATTCAATAATACAAGGTTGCGTAATTTGTGACAGCTAAAATTTGACACTCCTTTATCCAGATTTGTACTTTGGAAGTAGGAGAAAGGGGAAGAATGTGATCGCTTTTGCGAAAACGGTCGTAGAAAGGTACTACAAAAATTACGCAAAGTATACAATTAGAAGTAAAATGTGTATTATTTATTCTATGCAAATTTGCAATATATTTGGTGTTTTAATGGAAATACTAAACAATACATAAATATGTTCATCATTTCCTGGAACCGACCGTTCAGCTATGCAAAAAGGAAAACTGCAGATCAATAGAAGTTTTTATGCTCATTTCAAACATGCCAAAATTATTTGGCGCAAAAAAAAAATTAAGACGTTCTAGAAGGTTAAAGTTCAGTTTTTAAATTTTTTAAATATTAATATCTTACGAACTGTAAGTATAACCGATAAAAAACGAATGACGCCACCATAAAGATAACTAATTTGTCTTTCAGCTGGTGTACATAATTTATAGCTTCTTGTTTTTTAAACCAAAACCACTAAGAGGTCTATTCTGCACGTTACCAAAGATTTTGTAACCGAAAAATTGTATTACCAAAAAATGTTACCAGTTCTTGTCACCGCGATTCTAGGTACATTGGTAATGCAATTAAAATATTCAGCAATTCAGCTATGAAGAATTGTGCAAATCCTGGCATTGAATATTTCACGGGGCAATAATTTGTTACCAGCTTATGAGATGGTAACAAAATTTACCGGTTACAAGAGTATAAAGAATGCGAAAAAGGTTTTAAAATTGACAGGAACTTTATTTACCGGTTACAAACTTTTTATTCCCAGCGCAGAATAAACAATTCAGTGATAATAAAAAATACAAATAAACAAAGCAAATAAACCTCTTCGTTATTTTTTGCCTGCGCCAAATTAGGTATCGTTGTAATCAGCGTAAAAAGTTCTATCTATCGGCATTTTTGGTTATTTTATAGCTAAACGGTCACTATTCTACACTTGTTCTAGAAAATTACATTTAGTATGACGAATTTTTGGTTTTACTACTAATATCACTAGAAACTGTAGAGTAAGCAACATTCTGCACAAGTAAAGGAGCCGATTTTATGTGTGGGAGCGAGAAGACTGTTTTATTACAAAACCTTTCTATTATTGAATCATGGATTTATTCGATGCTGGTTATATAAGGCGCTAGACTTACAGCCTGATTCTCTATCTCGAAACGAGCGTTCGTCTCATCCAAACAGCCGTTTGTTCGTCTATTTGTACTACCTAACACGAATTCGCTACCCTGGCGATAACTAGTCGATAACAGCTGATTGTTATGTGACGAAAACGTAACAAATGTGAATTCTCTAACACGAATACGACTTCAAATAAAGAAAAAAAGAGTCAAATTCAAACGAAAGAGTTTTTGCTATCGTGTGAGCCGCTAAAATGGATAATTCAAGCAAAAAAGGCAGGAAATAATCGAAAAAAGATTCGTATTATTATAATTCATTTTTTGGTATACTTTACAGTGTTTAAAAAAACTTCCAGTGCTCAGTTCGATGTGCTGGTAAAAGAGCTGGAGAAAAATCCAGACTTGGCAAAAGGCGCTCCAATGTTTGGTGCGAGTAAGAGCCTGGTAGAACTGCAGTGGAATGAATTAGCCAATAAATTAAACGCACATGGACCTCCACAAAGAACAGCTACCGAATGGAAAAGGTAACTCCTTTTTATAAATAGTAAATTGTATCAAACATTGAGCTTGTAATGTTTTTCCAGATTTGGGCTGATCTTAAAAGCCGCACAAAGAAGAAAATTGCGGAAAATGCGTCCAGCATGCATGCCACAGGTGGTGGACCATTCCGGCTTTCGACCGGATCTTGCTGGTGTCAAAAGCGGCCACACCAAGTGGTACAGTTCTCGGTGTAAGGCAAGTGGTTGTACGCTCAGAACCAGAGCTTGACCAATCACCTCAACCACCATCACCTGAGGAGCTGATCCCAATAGTTGTCACTACTCCGGTCCGCACAGCTGCACTAATTGGGGTTGTGACACCTACCAGACAGCAGTCCACTACACCAAAAAGGCATATAGCCGCAGCATCAGCGCCACAAAGCAGCCGGAAGAGAACTTTCCAGGAGCTTATAGCCGAGTCAGCGAAGGAGCAAGCCTCTGCAGCGAAAATTCAAGCTGAAGCTGCGCAAAAAATGGCAGAAGCGGCTATGATTCAGGCTGAATCCACCAGATCCATAGCAGAAACGCTTAAAGAGTTGCTCGAGATCACAATCAGGCAAGCACAGGCCATTGAAAGTTTGCAAGACAAATTTGTTTAGTTCCCTTTTTATATATATTTTTTTATTTAAGCCACTTGACGGCGGATAATTTTGTTAAATCAAAGTGTACAGTAATTCATAAAAGGATAGACTCGGAGTTAAAAAAAAACTGTGGCCATTTGTTCAACGAAAATTTTTAATTTGCTAAGTTTGTATAAAAATATGATTCATACTACAACAATAATTTCAGAAATCAGAGCTTCAAACTTTTTGCAAAATTTAGGAACGTTCCGCAAATTTTCCTCAAAACTGTCCACTATTCAATCACATTTTTCTTGGAAAACTTCGATTAAAAAGAGCACAATTTTGATAGCAATTTGCAGTTTTCCTAAAGTTAGCAAAAAATTTGAAGCTCTGATTTCTGAAGTTATTGTTGTAGTGTGAGTCATATTTTTTATAATCAATTAGCGAATTAAAAATTACGGTTGAACAAATGGGCACCGGTTTTGTTAAACTCTCGAGTCTATTCTTTTTTGGCATCTTGATTAAAAAAATTTATCTTTGCTGAACAAATGGCAAGAACACTCACTGTACCTAAAATGAATTGGCTGTTTATAATTTTTTAGCAATAGTATTGAACTGAATAGAATTAATTAATTTGACTGAATTTAACCAAAGTTTTTTTATGTTTATAATAATAGTAGTATAGATTAATATTAATGAACATAAAATGTTATGAATTCTGTGAATAAAAGTGTATTTGGAGAAATTTTATTATAAATTGTTTGCTATTTGTGTTCTTATATTAGCTGCTACTGTAGAAAGATCCTCAAGTACGAGGTCTTCATCATTTGGCTCAATAGCGTCTTCAGCTTCGATTGGGGTGAGGGACAAATAATTTTTGTAAAATATACAGATGTTGTGAATTGCACAACATGCATTCACAATTTGCGTTGTCTTCTCTGCGGAATAATGAAGCCCTCTTGAGCCAATTATACTTCGGAATCTATTCTTCAAAACTCCAAAGCAGCGCTCAATGATGTTTCGAGCCTTACAGTGTTTATCATTGTATCGTCTTTGTACCACATCTGATGGATTTCTATACGGCGTCATCAAAAAGGGCTGCAGGGGATATCCGGAATCGCCTAAAGAGAAGAAAAAAAATTTTTTGTTATCCCAATTAAAATTGCTTTTTTACTTCATCCATACCTAGTATCCAGGTATTTGACTTCCCATTATTGAAAGCCAATCGAAGTTGTTCCTCTGCAGCACTAGTTTTCCAAATGAAGGAGTCATGGTTAGCGCCAGGATGTCTTGCGTCAACAAATGTAATTACCATATCGTGATCACATATCTAAAATCAGAATTGCATTGAAATAGTGGCATTAAAAAGGCTATAAGGGTTTTGTACTTACTGCCATTACATTGATGCTATAAAACCCCTTTCTATTGTAGTAAAGATGTCTGCAATTTGCATTGGGTGCTTTTATACGCACGTGGGTCCCGTCCACACAGCCAACTATGCCAGGTATTCCACATTTGTTGAAGAATTGCTCTTTCACGTCGTTTTCTTTTTCCTCGGTCCTGCACATGCTTACCCATTTGTGGCAAAAATGCTCCTCAAAAATGTTCAAGCATTCCGCTATTACTTTTGCAACTGTCGACTGACCCATTACTGAGAGACTTTCGTTACCCACCGACTTTTGATAGCTTCCAGTTGCAAGAAAGCGTAGAAATGTGGACAGTTTCAGTTGTGATGGCAAGTGAGTATTACGGTAGGTGTCTTTCATATGGATGCCCACTTCGCTAAAAATGTGTCCAAATACTTCTTTGCTGACTCGAAAGTTTTTAACAAACCTAAAATAAAATATGTAGGTTAATGGTTAATATACACATACAAATCTGCGATATGTGGGTGCAAGCCAGAGTAGACCACTTGACATGGGTCCCATTTCGTCCCCACATAACACTACAACTATCTGGAATGCTAGAAATGCACGTCTACTTACTCGGCGTCTGGCAATTCCAATACATTACATTTGTACTGTCTCGTCTTCGTTCGAACGTTCACTTGCAAGAAATGCTATTGCTTGATACATTTTTAAATAATTCTATTAAAATATTGTATTTTTGAACTTTTATACACACAAAGTAAACAAAACAGTTTTGACAGATCTTTTCGGGCGAATAACGTAAAACGTAAGGATGGACGAAAATTATCATTCGAGATAGAGACTTCTGAATTCAGACGATTTCGTTTGGACACGAATCGTTCGTCTGGTTGTTCGTTCGAGATAGAGAATCAGGCTATTAATAAACAAAACTGGTAAACATGTAACTAACTGAATAAGCTCATCATAAATACATACATTGTACATGCATGTAAATGTGAGCAAACCACAAATCTCAGCAACTAAAATAGTTATTTAGAATTTGTTGTCTTGCAGCAATACCATGATGAGTACTAGTTATTTCATCAAGTAAATTAAACTCTTCATCAAAACTTATGTTATCATCATCCTCAATTTCATACCTTATATTATTTAATATCATGATATTGTGCAAAATTATACAAGCATTTATAATTTTTCCGGCTAAAACTGGGTCATACATAAGCACTCTATCTTTTGACAGGCATCGAAATCTAGATTTCAGTACTCCAAAGCAGCGTTCTACACAGTTTCTTGCTTTTCGGTGATGTCTGTTGTAATTATGTTCAGAATCTGAGAGATTGTTTCCCGGAATAGGAGTCATTAAATAAGGTAATTGAGGATATCCACTGTCACCTAAACATGTGAAAAGGAAAATTATGCTACATAAATAATATACATATGTATGTATACAAATTGAGTAAAATATACCTAAAAGCCAAAAATTTCGTTCTCCATTGGAGTACATATTGTCAAGAAAAACCTTCAAAGCACTTGCTCTCCAAACTGATGCGTCGTGAGCAGTTCTGCCGAAACGAGCATTACAGTCGAGTATTCTTAAATCCATGTCACATACCTTTCAGTGATGAAATAATGCATGTACATACAATGTTACGTATATGTATATACATTTGTAAATATGTAAATGAATAGAACATACCACTTGCACATTTATTGAGTGTCCTCCTTTTCGGCAAACATATACATGTTCAATGTCTTTGGATGGAGTCTTTAATTTAATATGCGATCCGTCAATGGCTCCTATGACCCCAGGGAATCTGAACTCTTNCTTAATGTCTCCTATGATCCCAGGGAATCTGAACTCTTGATAAAATCTAAAATAAAGAATCACAAACTTATCTTAAGTAATATTACTTTTAATTTAGTATAAGTAATTTTCCTTACAGCTTGTTTTTCTTCAACTGTTGATGGAAACTTAATGTATCTAGTTAACAAGTATTTGTCCATGATACTGGCAATTTCTCTAATGCATCTACTGACGCTGCTTTGGGATACATTAAGTAAGAAGTCTTGTCCCACCGAACGTTGATAGCTTCCTGAAAAAGTATGAATTCAATTAATACAACATTGAATATATATATATATGTATATATGTACATAATTGAGCGAAAAATCGCAATGCTACAAGGAACCTTAAAACTTTCGACAATCCACAACTTGATGTCCTTTGCAACGTAAAGGGGCGGATTTAATTAAAAACATTTCTACATATTTCTTTTGGAAGTCGAATAATTTCTGTGAACCGTTCCTCTGAAATACAGAAGGGATCCATGGATTCCCGCAACAATTTTCTTTTGCTTCGCAAACGGTTCCTTAAAGCTCGCTGAGAGTTCACTGAGATACGAAACAAATATCTTCGCAACTCACTCATCTTGACCACGTATTTATTATCACAACACTCTTTCTTAATATTATAATGAAATAGACCGAGATTGCGGCTTTTAATTTCTGATTTAGAGCAAATTATATCAAAATTACAAATTTTAACTAAATTCCCGTGGGCCATAAAAGTAAACAAAATTTGATATTTCTCTTCAACTACACCAGCGACACCTGCGGCGGATAAAAGTATTACAATTTTCCTTGGAGATTTTTAGAGATGAACCAGCCGGAATCGCATTTAAGAAAAATCGCCTAAAGTTCGGATAATTTTTAGCGTTTGGATTTTTGGAGATTTGTAGAGTTTTAGCGATAGCGAAAGCTGGAATCCGGCTGCAGATAGCGAAACTCAGAGTAAAAAAACTTATTGACGAAAGTACGAAAACAACACATTCCTAAAGTTGCCCTTGTTTAAGCTGCAGCGAGTATCAGGTGGAATAGAATTCCATAGTCTTGAAGAGTTAAGATAATTAAAGCTAGATACAATTAAGTCGCTTATACGGGCAGATTTTGGAAAGGTTAGCTTATTATACAGATAGCTAGGTAGCTTGTTACAAAAATATTACACAAATTTAAGACACTTATCTATATCTATCTATACTAATCTATATCTATACTCTATACTAATTATATAAAGAGAAGTCCCTTTTTTTGTAACAGGTAATCTCGCGAACGGCTTTTCCGATTTTCATGAATTTTTTTACATAAATAGCTTTCAGCAACCACCATGTTTTAGGCAAAAAAAATTTACTTTTTCCAGTAGGTGGACCAGGGACAGATCCATTCGAAAAAATCTTATTATGGTCCGATTTGCTTAAAATTTGGTACGTAGGTAGCTTATTATCTAGATTTGCATATATGATCCTTTTTTCCGAGAAGTGGACCAGGGACCGATCTTTTCAAAAAAATAGTATTTATGGTCCGATTTGCTTGAAATTCGGTACATATGTAGGTAGTTTTTTGCCTGGATTAGCATATAGGATCCGTTTTTTCCGAGAAGTAGACCCGGGACAGATCTATTCAAAAAACTTATATTTTTTTATTTTAAATAAATAAATAAATAAATGTGCTTAAAATTTGGTACGTAGATAGCTTTTTGCCTAGATTAGCGTATAGGATACTTTTTTCCGGGAAGTGGAACAGGGACCGATCTATTAGCAAAAATCGCATTTATAGTCAGATTTGCTTAAAATTTGGTATGTAGGTAGTTTTATGCCTAGAATAGCATATAGGATCCTTTTTTCCATGAACCAGGGACCGATCTATTTAAAAAAGTCGTATTTATGGTCCGATTTGATTAAAATTTTGTACGTAGGTAGCTTTTTGCCTGGATAAGCTCATAGGATCCTGTTTTCAAATTTTCATGCAGTTTCGAATATAAATAGCTTTGAGCAATCACCATATCAAAGGCCGAATTCGTCTCTAGACAAGTTTTTTTTTGCGACAACCAAAAACAACGGTTACAGCCAAAATATAATAATAATATATAACATATCTATACTTATATATATTGTGAAAGCCGTTTTTTAGTGTTCGCAAAGCTCGAGAACGGCTGAACCGATTTTTTAGAAACTTCAGGAAGTGTTCATGGAACTGGAACTTGGTATGGAGATATACGAAATCAATCGTATACTCTTGGAGAAAAATTGGAGCTATTGGAAAAGGGGGCGTAGCACCTCCCATACAAACCAAATTTTTCATACTGCATATCTCTGGAAGTGTTCATGGTAGAGTTTTGGAGCTTGGTATGGAGATATACGAATTCAATCGCATACTCTTGGAGAAAAATTGGAGCTATTGTAAAAGGGGGCGTGGCACCTCCCATACAAACCGAATTTTTATACTGCATATCTCTGAAAATATTCATGGTGCAGTACTGGAACTTCGTATGGAGATATGTATGTATATGAAATCAAGGCCATACTTATGGAGAAAATTGGGGCTATTTGAATGTATTTATAATTCTTCTGTAGGTGTGTTTGTGAGTGAAATCCTCTTAAATGGGAGTACGGATTTTAACGCAATTTTTTGTGTGTGTTTGAGTGGGTCTCTGGATGGTTTAGTTTCACAATTTAATCCGTCAGTTAGCGCTGTAGTAACGTTGAACCACAAGATGCATTTTAAAGTTTTCTGGCAGCATTTTCATTCGATTTTCGTGAAGAAAAGCCTTGAATGTACTAAATGTGCGCTCGACGTAAGTTGATAAAACTGAAACTCAATTTAAATATGGAACGTTTGAAACGTTCATATTATCAGGTATAAGGGAGTTTTCCTCGTCCTTTACAATTTTATCCACACCCCTTATTGTCACCAAGCCTTTGTTAGCTGAGAAAACGGCTTTGCATTTTTCCAACACCAATTTGGCAAGAGGTCCCTGCGCTTCTATAAGCCGCATGGGCTTTTTTAAAGGTAGAAAAGTAAAAAAAAAAAAAAAAAAAAA